GGTCCCTTCCAACCTGAACCATTCCGTGACTCTACAATTAGCAGCAGCCCCATGCCACACAAGAGCCCTGTGTTCCTTGTCAGCAAGCAACAGCGAACACACAAACCAAAAAACCAGAAGAAGCGAGACAGCGTGCGACAGACTGTCTCTGCAACCGACCCATGCAGAGTTCTGCTTTTAGCGTAGGAGATCTCTGCAGTAATACTGTGAGAAACATTTTTTTAGCTCATCTGATAAAAATGCAAATCTTGATTATTCAGATGTTACTTAAAATAAAAAAAAAACCCAACAGAAACAGGAGGCAATCCCCTCCAAGAGGCACAGCCCGGCTCAGCAGGGCCAGGCCGGGGCCCTGCGGTGCTGCCCGACCCAGCTCTCGGCTCCCTTCACCAGGGATGGGGCAGCACCCAAACCCCACCGGCCCCCATGCCAGAGCATCCCCTTCCCTGTGCACATCGCTTGGGATCGCCAGGCCCCCGTCCTTTCTCCAACACTCTCCCTTCCTCCAAACATCTGCCAACGTGAGGTTTCATCTCCACCAGAACATCCTTAATCCAGCTTTTATGCTGGCACTGCCGCAACCGGTTCATCTAGAAGAGGCGCAGCGAGGAGCCCTGGAGCTGGCTGCCCCCACGGTGGGGCCGAGCAGCCCCCCAGCCAGTGCCTGGGCTGCAGGAGGGATGCCGTGGAGCCCATGCCCAGCTGTTCCCCTGCCCCGCAGCCTGGAATCCCCCAGGAACAGCACCAGGGAGATTCTGCAGAGCGGCGAGCTCGGCAGAGCAGGCTCTCACTCCTCGGCTTCCTGCCTTTCTCCAAGTCAATTCTTTTCCCATTAAATAAGCACTATGAGCTGTTTCTCTTCTAACATAGCACACAGCGCTACACTCACTGTTTGTTTGTGATTTGGTTTAGTTCCTTCCCTACTAAAGCAGCATGAAACCCATTGTATTACCTGACTCCCGCAAACACCCAGCTGTCCTTTAAATGAGGAGCACTTAAACGGTTCTGAGATTCCCTGCACTTATTTGGCCCTTGGGAGTACCTGGAACTGCCTGGCCCTTGGCTTGAGCCTGTGAATGAGTGTTTTGAAACCAAGATCTAACCCAGCTCTTTGGTTTTTAACAGCCTTGCCGGGGACCCACGGCACAGGGACAAACCCATGTCCTAAGAAAGCATCTGGAGATATTTTTAAGTCTACTTTAAGTATTATTTGGGTTTTTTTCTCTTAAACAGGTAACTTCAGGTTCTCCCAGACTTCCTGCTAAACTTTTTGGCAAATTAACTTGTTCCCTGGAATCCCAAGTGCTGCCCAATCCCCCGCTCCCGCAGCGCCAGGGCGAACAGCGAGGGCAGGGATGACCTGCCGCCTGGAGGCTGGCACAGACACCTGACGATGCCTTCACTTTTTAAACACTAATCACAGGTTTCCATGGTAACCTGCAAAGCAGGAAGAAGATGGGAAATTATAGGCCAGTTCTATCATTGAAAGCCAATTCCTTTACCCTCATAAAGTTTCAAGGTGACCTATGAGTACTGATTAATCAGACTGCACAAAGGCAGAAAATACGCCCCAGAGCAGCCTTCTGTTGTAGAAAAGAGATAGCTTTTGGTCCTTTAATACTAGGCTCGATCTGAAACCCAGAGAGGAGCTTAACCTCCACTCTGCCCTGTGCTGCTTTCAGTTGGGGTAGAGTTGGTTTTCCCCACAGTAGCTGTATGAGGCTGGGTTTGGCTGTGCAGAGAACAACGATAACACACCGATGGTGCCTGTTGATGCCAAGCCATGCTTACATGAAGCCAAGGACTATTTCAGCTTCTGATCCTGCTCCTGTGTTCCCAAATTCTTCTCTACGAGAAGCTGGGAGCAGACACAGCCCAGATAGCCAACCCAAACTGACCCTTCATGTCATCAGACATCGTGCTTGGTAGGTAAGTTGAGGAGTGGGCTGCGGGTCACTCTCTCCTGGGCTTTGGTCTGGCTTTCGGGCTCTCTGTTTCTGGCTCTTGCTGCCCAGAGACTGGCTGAGAATCAGCAGGTGGTGAGCAGTTGTTTTATTTTCCATTATTTTCATTATATATTAGTATTATTAGTAGCACTATTTTATTTAATTTATGTTAAAATATTAAACTGTTCTTATCTAAACCCACGAGTTTCCTTGTCAGTTCCTCTGACTCTCCTTCCCACCTCCCTGGGGAGGAGGGAGCTGAGCTGCGTGGTGCCTGGCTGCTAGCTGGGGCTAAACCACAACAGCCTCCTGCACAGCCCAACCCCATTCCCATGCCGTTAAAAGCTACACCACGTTCCCAGCAGCATTTGGGTTTCTCTGGGGCCAGGGCACGGCTCCATGGGCAGGGGGTGGCAGGGCAAGCCCCCTCCCTCCTGCTCCGTTCCGCAGGTCAGCCCTCATTGTGTTCATACACGGGTTTCCAGTTACTCTATGATTCTACTTGCCAACCAGATATGACTCAACACCACACACACACACATAAGGAAACTTTTCTACCACTATTAACTTTCAGAGGAAGTGGAAAGAAGAGAGAAAAACATATGGGTCACACACATACTTTGCCAAGTGGTTCATGAGCAAGTGCAGCATCTGCCTGTTTTTCTCCGGGAGCCGATGAACGAGGCTGTGGATCTCTGACACCCTCGACTCCTGATTCTCCAGTTCTGCATTGGAAATAAAAAATGATTTATCTCTGCATCAGCGGGGTTGTTACAAACATTAACACCGACAGACACTCCCCAATCCACCCTACACCCAGGCACGCCATGGATGCTCTCCACAGCACTCCCCCTTCCCACCAACTCCAACCAGTTGTTTCTGAAAGGAAGAAACCCTCGGACTGAAGCCGAGAGCTGAGAGCAGATGACAGCCATGATCAGGGAAGGGGCTGGCTGTACCCAGCGTTCCTCCAGCTTCAGCAACAGGAACATCAGCACATTCCCAAGCACCACTGGGACGTGCTCAGTGCCCGGCGAAATTCCAGCATCTGGTCCTTAACAGGCTGGCTGGCTCCGGGGGTGCTGGCAGATGTGCCCCGACAGCCTACGTGGGGGCTAAGGAGGCCACCATCAATGTGGCCACGGGCCACATGAGCCCCCCTGACCCATAGCCCCACCAGCCCCTTCTCTAGGCAGGCAAAGGAAGTTGGCAGACACCTGCTCTGCAATTAACCCCATCCCACCCCATAGGTGGTGCTTGAACCCCGGCCCCCCTCACTGTGGCAGAGGATGGTAAAGCCAGACAGAATGGCAGCAGCAGCTCCTGCCCCCGGCCAGCTCTGCGCTCCCCCGGCCCCATCCGCGCTTCCCTTTCATCTGGTTATGTCCCAAACAACAACATGCCCCTTGTCTCCCGATTCTTCTGCTGCTTTCCGGGACTTAAGAACAAGGAGGGCGGCAGGGAAGCGGCAGGGCAGGGGTTACACTCAGCTACGTGCCAATAACGCTGCCATAAACATCAACAAACTCACTTGCTGCTTTGATGAAGCTCCTTTGAAATTGGTACATCATGAGCGGCCCCGGAAGCATTCTGGGAGATAAAAAGGTAACACAGAACACCTCTGAGTAACACAATCCAGAGAAATAAAGCTTTGCCCTTACCATAAACTCAGCTCTGTTTTAAAAAGTGCAGAATTAAGCAACAGCAATTCTAATTAATTCCCCCCATCAGAAGGAATAAGATCTATTAAAGTGCCTTGGATTTATCCCTCCTCCCTTCTCTGCACCACTCTGAATTAACTTTTAACTTCAGCGTGCCTCCAGTAACACAGTTTCAGTACATCAGTGAGCCCGTGATTTGCAAGTAAACTTAAAAATAAATTAAAAAGAGAAACAAGCCTGTTCATAAAACTTTCACGGACACCCTTCCCATTAAATTAAACTCCCCATTCTCCCCTCCCACTTCCACATCCCTTCAACAGCCCATTTGGCAATGCCGCCGTTCTTCATCGCTTTGCAAACAGTTCGAACTCTGGAGCAAAGGTTGGCAATCATGCAAAATCAGGTAGTTTTGTGATTTTCTAGGCTGGGATCCACCGAGCTAATTATGCTCATCTCCCTAATTGGATTTAGCCTCTCTCTTGCACTCTCTCAAACAAAACCCAACACCCAGAACACCAACGCTGTGCACGAAGCTGGAGTCGCGACAGGCAGAAGCATGCTGTGGGTAACGAGACGCTGACGGCTGCCAAGGCTCATCCTCTGGGATAACCCACCATGGCATCAATGCACACAGAATTCCCAGCTGAGGTAAAGCTCAGCACCCAGTTCTGAACAGCCCCAAGAGAAGCACTGGGCTCTTCCTCTGCCACACGCTCGTGGGGTGGAAGCACATCCCTGGGAGTGTCCAAGACCAGGCTGGATGAGGCTTGGAGCAACCTGGGCTATGGAAGGTGCCCCTGCCCATGGCAGGGGGGTTGGAACTAGATGATCTTTAAGGTCCCTTCCAACCCAAACCATTCCATGATTCTTTGCAAACTAAGGGAAAAGCTTAAACCAAGGCAGGATACCCAAGAATGAGCTTTTTAAACCATGTCTGTATGATAGATGCAGAGAGCTGATCGCATTCCCCAAATCCTGCTCAAACATGATGGAAGGTCAAGGAAACAGCCAGGATAAATTCTCCAGGAGCAGTTTCTTGTTTCTGTTAAGTGCTCTAGTTAAGGACCTGCAGTAGCACCCCAGCCCATCACCAAACCCTTCCTGCAGCCGCACGACAGGTATGGCTTTTCTCCCTTACCTCAGGTAGGTTTTCAGTGCACTAGTAATGGTCTTTATCTCCCACTCCGCGCAGATCTCTGTTTCTGTTTCTGTGGCTGTTTTGGGATCTAAGGAAAAAGAAGAAAAGAACCAAAGTAAGGATAATACCAGCTCATGGCAGCTGACCAGCTCAGCTGTGTGGGAAGACCATCACATCCCATGTAGGAGCTATTCCCAGCCCAGTGTCCACAAGCCAATCCCCAGCAGACATTTCGGGAGGGAAGTGGGGTTTGTTACACGGGATGGGCCATGCTCACTTGCACGGGATGAGAAGAAGAATAAAACACGGATCATGAGCAATGGGCTCGGCAGTTTGACTCAAAGCGTGACATCCAAGGGCGCAGGAGGCTGTGGGGAAGCTCCTGTCGCCTCGCAGAGCAGGACTGGATTCCAGCTGTGCCAGCAGGAAGGACAGGAGGAGCACCCAGGGCATTTTGAAGTGGGAGTGCAGGGACAGCTGCGGCTGGGGGGTGTCGCTGGCACAGCAGAACTGCACTCAGTTTGGTTTATCACCTCTGACCTCTTGCTGTCATCCTGTTGTGTTCCTCCACCCTCCCTTCCGCGGGCTGTTTCTTGCCATCTTTAATTTTTAAAGGTCGGATTCACCCTCCTCCATCCTCCAGCAGACGCAGGGGTCCGCAGCAGCTCCTGAGCCACCTCCAGCCTCCAGGAGCATCGGCAAACCTCCCAGCATGGCAAGAACCCAGCCTGGACCAGACCCTCGGCGCACAGCGATGGCAGAGGTGGAGCTGCCGCCCACCCCCACCCACCGCAGACCCTCACCCAGCACTCCACATAACGCTGCGGGGAGGGGGCCGCCCACACAGCCGTGACGCAGCTCTTGTGGCACCTGTGAGGAAGGTCTGCAAGCTACAGCCAACGTGCATGGCTCTGCTCCAAGGGCACTTCTCAGGTCCTTGCTCCCACCCTGGAGCAGAGGCAAGGTTGGAGCTGCTCCCCTGCTCTGCCTCTCCAGGATTTACACTCCTGACCCTCCACGGCTGCCGTAGAAACACACATGGATCTTCAAAACAGTCCCTGGCAATAACTGCTTTCTCCTGATAGCTTCAGCTTTGAGAAGGGGCAGCAAAGGACATCGGAGAGGTACGAGCCATGTTACACAGTGCTGATGGTGGCTATGCTCCCCAGGTCCCAGCGGGTCCCTGAGGGCAGCTCTGGGCACCGAGACCCTCTTCGTGCTGACTGAGCAGACTCTGCATCCATCCATCCTCCCCGCTGAGCCCTCCAGTGTAGCCAAACCTCCAGTTACTGCCCAATGGTGTTGCTGGGATCCCTCAGCCATTTCCGTACCACACTCCATCTCCAGGCACGCGTGCCCGGGAAGCTCTCCGCGTGTGGGCAGCTCCATCAGTCAAGCTCCCAGCAGAGCCCCAGGCCGGGATGGGATGTGCCAGGCTGTGCAGAGACAGGTGGGTTTGTGCTTCCCAGCTGACGGCTGCTTTCTGCAGAACAAGGAGATTCCAAACCAGTGTCTGGAGCAGGAAAGGTGCAAACAGCGACCCTGGCTCCAACGCTGGAATGGCCCAATGCAAACTTTGCAATGAGACCCTGGAGAAGATGGGCAGGAGCATCGTGAAACAGCAGGATGCTCTCCCAGAGCCAGGCAGAGGGGAGCTGCACAGCTCCTGGGAGTGTCTGACCCAGCACTGGACAACCCAGCACCCCAGGACACAAGGGGTTTTGGCACCCTGGCACCGCCCATCCTTACCCCACACCCCATCTCTGCCTGGGGATTCACAGCACCGGCTCACAGGTCCCACAGGAACCACAGACCTGCCATCAGATCCTCCGGCTTCCAGCTCTATGCGGTGCGAGCGTCGGGCCAGGGAGCCTCTGAAGTGCCTCTATTTCATCGTCAAGCACTGCAGCATGCTTGCCTCCATCTCCCCTGCAGCCCTCCTTTCCTTTCTGCATTTTTCCCCTCCTATCTTTCCTTTAAAGAAATCAGGAACACCCTGCAGCTGTTCTGGACGATGTAAATAGGAGGCTCTGGACTGGCAGCCCAGCCCTTCCCAAGGCGGATCCGACCCGTGCTCGCAGGAATCTGCAGCCCTCTGCTTCTCCCTGCTTTCTGCAAACCACCAACCCAGGTCAGGAAGCCGGACTTGTTTGCATAAAGTCCTGTAGCGAGATCAATAAAGCTGATTTCTGGGAAAACACCTTGATGCTCTGACAATAAAAGAGCCCTCAGGAAGCAGCAACCGTTCCCTTTGGCACCTCCACCCACGCCGGGACCCTGCTGCCATGGGGGGTCCCAGGGACCGCTGCCATCTGCACACCCATCCCAGTAGGCACCAACACAGACGGCACCTTTTTTTCCAGTCTTTGCTGAGAATTCCAGACGGATTCCTCAAAAGCCACCCTCGGGTTGTCGTTACGGGGCTGGGCCATGGACACTTCAAGCACAGTGCCAGGGACCACGAGTAAGGACAGCGACTGCTCCGTGCCAAAGTGAGGAGCACTGCACCAGTCACAGATGCGGAGAAGGCAGGAGCAGGGCTCAACGTCTCCCCGTCTGCAGCCATAAGCACCTTGGTCCTCTCCTGCTTCATGAACGCCCTTTGCTAACTTGCTCCTGGCATCGACAGCTGGAGCCTCGTTGCCATGGGAAGAGGCTGGGAGAGCTGGGATGTTCAGCCTGGAGAAGGGAAGGCTCCAGAGAGACCTCAGAGCCCCTTCCAGTGCCTGGGGGGCTATGAGAAAGCTGGGGGGGACTTTTTCTAAGGGCAGGGAGTGACAGGACAAGGGGTAACAGGTTTAAATTGAAAACAGGGAGGTTTAGATTAGATATCGGGAAGAAATGCTCCCCAGAGAGGGAGGGGAGGCACTGGGACAGGTTGCCCAGAGGAGCTGTGGATGCCCCATCCCTGGAAGTGTCCAAGGCCAGGCTGGATGAGGCTTGGAGCAACCTGGTCTAGTGGAAGGGGTCCCTGCCCATGGCAGGGGGTGGGACTGGGTGGGATTTGAGGTCCCTTCAACCCAAACCCTTCTGGGATTCTATGATCTCTCAGAGCTCTGGAGCTGAAGGCTTTGACTGCACCAAGCTCCAAGTGAGCTGGACCTGGAAACACAACTGGGAACTTGTTCCCACTGAAACCCCTGGGAAACACCCACAGGTGGCCTTGGGAGACAGGGCTGTGGGTGCTTTCAGTGACATGGAAGTGCCACACGTCCCCGAGAGCCGGAGCAGGCGCAGAGAGGCACTCACCGTGCCCAAGGCCAAGCCTGACGCCAGATACAGCTGCCAACGCCATCTGGTCCTACGGATTCGACTCAGTGGGTATTTGTCTTCTCACGGACACGTATAATGCGCTTTTGAATTTTAAAGCAATAGGTAAGCATAGGGTAATTTTAAAACTAATTAAAAGAATGCACTGAAATAAGAGTTAGGCTTTCCCTCAGGGCAAAGGGTTTACTTTAATTAAAAAAAAACCCATCAAGAGGAGCACTTGGAAAAGTAAACATTTAAGAACTGTGTTTTCACAGAAGCATCCCGTGTGTCCCGCAGCAATCGCACAAGCGAACACCATCCTTCCTCGTCAACGCCAGCGCAACTTCCTCTATCACACCACCGTTTTAAGGAGGCAATTTTAAGAGATTAAAAATAAGCCTGGCATAGTGAAAAAAGTAAATTAAACAAAGAAAAAAAACCCTCCCCTGTTTAAAAAAAAAAAAAAGCCCTTTTTAATAGCAAGGCCTTCGCTGAAGCTGAACAAACAACTCAAGTCTGGATGCCTTTTGAAAAGCTCATCCAGGAGTTTATAGACATGATTTATGGAACACGGTGAAATCCGAGGGTCGGCCTCATGAAAAGGCTGGGAGCAGATAATCAGTTCCCCTTGACCTTCAAATTTATGAGTCAGCAAGAAGTTGTCTTTGTGGGCTACAGATGCAGCATCTGCCTCCGCAGGCAGAGATGGCTGGAGCCAGCACCACGGCGCACTCGTCTCGGCACAAGGACACATTTCCACAGGAACTGGTGTAAATGTGAACCAGGCCCTGAAAGCACCCACCGGCCAGACTCAGTATTAACCCTGCAGTCGCTTGTTGCTGCGAGTTATTAACCTGGTGTCCCTTACCAGATACGAATAAAGCTGAAGTGAAAGGGTAAGGGGAAAGGGAGGGAAAAATGAACAGCCCCAAGCGTTTTACTCCAGCGGAGACGGAGGAAAGCACTTTGCTCAGCCCAGGACACAGCGGCCACAGCAGCATCACCCCCGTGCCCATTCGCTCATTCTGCCTGGTCACAAATGCCACTCGGACAGCGCTTCCCAGCTCCCCCCAGGCTGCGAGACCAAAGGGGGTTATCACTGACAGCCTCCCACGGGGGACATTTGAGGAAAGAAAAGGGAGCTGCAACCCTCCAGGTCCAAACCGAGAAATCAGAACATGTTTTCTTATGGCCGGATCTACATAGAAATTCAAGGGCGGAAAGAATACATTCCCATTCCCAGAAAATTTGTTTGGCTGATTTGTTTTCTCCCTAGAGGCAAAAAGCAGCAGCGGAGGAGGAGACGGGGATCCCATCCATATCCAGGCGTTCACCCCTGCAGACCCCAGGTGACGGGATGGGCAGGGAACGGGGCAGGCTGTAGCCCAGCAGGCGGGTGGGCAGCCCCAGCTCATCAGACACCCCTAAGTGCACAGACGTGACGGAACCGCAGCCAGACAACGGCGTGCAATGCCAGGGACGTTCCCGAGGAAGCCAGCCCCGGCTGTGGCAGAGCCCATGGCAGGCCCAAAGCCCTTTCTAAGGAACTTCTCCATCTGCTTCCTGGGGATGCAGAAAGCTGCTGCCGTCAACACAGCCGGTTTCAATTCCTCACTTCTCCACGGCCAGGGGAACCGCCTGGGGCTCCACCTCATCACCCAGCCCGGGTGGCTCAAAGGATTTCCACAACAGCCACAGGGCACTCAATCCCAGCAGTGAGGGAACATGGGGAGCCCCACTCAGCAGCTCGGATGGCTCATGTGGGAGGAGCGAGACACGCCAAACAGGAACACTCCACTCATCTGAGTGCCGAGTTTCAACAGCCCAGAAAGCCAACCCCATCCTGGGCTGGATCCGGAGCAGCGTGGCCAGGGGGGTGAGGGAGGAGATTCTCCCCCTCTGCTCCGCTCTGGGGAGACCCCCCTGCAGTTCTGCTCCAGCTCTGGGCCCCCAACAGCAGAAGGACACAGAGCTGTTGGAGCGAGTCCAGAGGAGGCCCCGGAGATGCTCCGAGGGCTGGAGCCCCTCTGCCATGGAGACAGGCTGGGAGAGTTGGGGGGGTCAGCCTGGAGAAGGGAAGGCTCCGAGGAGACCTCAGGCCCCCTTCCAGAGCCTGGGGGGTACAAGAAAGCTGAAGGGGACTTGTCCCAACGGCAGGGAGTGACAGGGCAAGGGGTAATAGGTTTAAACTGAAAGAAGGAGATGGAGATGGGACAGCAGGAAGGAATTCTTCCCAGAGAGGGTGGGAAGGCACTGGGACAGGTTGCCCAGAGAAGCTGTGGATGCCCCATCCCTGGAAGTGTCCAAGGCCAGGCTGGATGAGGCTTGGAGCAACCTGGGCTATGGAAGGTGTCCCTGCCCATGGCAGGGGGTGGGACTGGGGGGGCTTTAAGTTCCCTTCCCCCCCAAATCATTCTGGGATTCTATGATCTGCTAGCACCGTCTCTGTCCTATGTGCCCACCCCACAATAACTCTGTCATGGGAGCTCTGACACAGAAAAGTTCGTCCATAACAAGTACCCGACCACCTGCTGCCCACGGGACAGCTCTTCTCCCCGAGGCAAGCACAGTGCAGATGCACCTCATGCCAAAGGCCTTCCCAGCAGCATCACCGACACCAGCCCCCGCTCAGGGAAACCTGACCTGTCTGCCATTTAAGCCACATGTGAAGGGTAACACCGCCCACGTGGGTTTCTAAACCAAAGGGAAACCCGCAGTTGGAGCGCAGTTCGGCTCCTCCACTCACGAGGGTCAGTCCGAACAGGAGCATTGGAGCAGCACGGCGACGCTCCCGGCAGGACGTCAGAGCCGAAGGGCGTTAGACAATGGACACTCTTCTGTTGGACACAGACAGCCTAAACACCACTAGGATTGTCGAAGGCGATTTGGAGAAAGATACGGCGTCACAGGTTTGTAAAGCGTCTCAGCAGTCAACAGCATGGGAGATCCCCAAAGAGGGTCCCACTTCCAGCACCCACCTGGCCACCCGCGGCACCCCCCAGCACGCGCTTGCCACCGACAACTAAGGGAGACGTGCCGGGACAAAGGAAAGCCACCGGCGATATATCACGGCATTATGAGACGTGAGGTCGACAGCTGAGTGGCTTCAGCCGCTGCGGAGATAATGGATGCTGGAGCGTGTCCAAAACTCCGAAACCCTCCCAGCTCCGGAGAGCTCCAACCAAGCGAGTTTTGCCATCTGTCACAGCCCCGCAGCCCGGAGCTGACACAGCCTGAGACCGCCCTTGCCAGGAGAAAACAGGATCAGCGGCTCTGCTAGCTCGCGAGACGATGCGCCAGCACGAAGAGCACAGAGGACCCGGCATGTCAGACCCTCTGTGCCCTGGACACCCAATCCCCAGCCTATTTTTCTCGGCAGGCAGCACCGCTCTCTGCCCGACGCTCCAACACACCCGTGCCAAGCGTGTGCACCACGGGACGGCCCGGCCCTGCCCTGTACTCAGGCGGCTCGCAGCACATGCTCACACCCCCCAGGACCCACGCCAAACCTCTACTAATAAAAGAGAAAGTCACCAGCTCTTGTGACTGAGGCGAACTTCCCAAATGCCAGAGCAAAACCAGAGCAGAGAGGTCCCCTTGCATCAGCCTCTGATAAGAGCCTTGCCCTCCTGCTTCCTAATTATTCCTGGATTATTCATTTTCTGTAGGTTACCACTGACAAGCCTTAACCGCCACCTCGGGCTTTGCTCAGTGAACACCTTAACAGTGGGAAAACAAGGGGGAATTGGGAGAGGAGAAGGAAAGCTGCTGAAAGTGAAATACATGTATTAAAAGGTTCAGTCATGTGGAGCAACCACCACAGCCTCAGTCTTGCCATCTCAGAGTTGGGGAGAGGTCTCTGAGGGCTCCCAGGCAGCTCCAGGGTGGCTGCAAAGGGTGGCCAGTGCTCAAAGAAGCCCCCTCCACGTCAACACCAAGCTCTGTCATGGTGTGACCCGACACCTTCTCTCCTCCTGAGCACCCGGAACTGCAGGATGCGATGCCTCAAGGCAGGAGGGAAACACGTGCTGGAAAGGTCTGGGCAAGACCGTGCTAAAACAGGCACAAGAAGGTCCAAGGGGGTAAGAAGAGCCACAGGCAGCATGCAACAAGAGAAAGTAATTAAAAAGTACTCTGTGAACAACGTGGCAGGTATGAGATTACAAACCAAAGCTTTCAGCTATTTCTTTGAAGATTTTAGTTTGCTTTTGGGAAGGCTGCCAGCGTGCGAGCCGGACACCAGTGACTGCACCACACCTTTCAAAGCCTCGACCTACACAAGTCCTACCTTAGCAACCTGGCTGTGGTAGCCCGGGATGCCCCAGCCTCTAACAGCGTGTGGCCCCAGGAGCACATTCACCACGCTTCGGTACCCCAAAAGACTCTGCTCTCGGCTGGCAAGACTTCAAAGCTGCACAATCTACTCGCCTTGAACAAAACAGGAGATACTTACCCATTAATATACTCAACAGCTTTTGAACTCTGGAGTTTACCCCGACGATTCTGTAGAGCCCTTGCTCATTGATCCCTAGGAAAAACAAGGAGCTTGTTAGGAGAATGTCGAAAGAGCTACTGACTTTTTATTCATTTCTTTGGCTTCTCTAACAGCAAAAATAATTAAACCCTCTCAACAACTACACACAAAATTAGAGAAGAGAGTAAAATTTTATTTTGATGTTAGGGCTTTCATGTATTGATTAAAAGTATTACCCCCCAATTAGCTCAGTAATAAAAGATCCAAGGACATCTTTCCTCCCTACCACTATCAGCAAGGGAGCGCGGCTGCACCACGAAGGATCTGCCCTTCACACACACAAGGGTGGTTTTGGACAAATTTACTCTGCCAGATTCTTCAGGTTGAATCCCAGAATGGTTTGGGTGGAAGGGACCTTAAACACCATCTAGTTCCAACTAGATCCATCTAGTTCCATGGGCAGGGACATCTTCCACTAGACCAGGTTGCTCCAAGCCTCATCCAGCCTGGCCTTGGACACTTCCAGGGATGGGGCATCCACAGCTTCTCTGGGCAACCTGTCCCAGTGCTCCCCACCCTCTCTCTTGAGGTCTGAGCCTTCTGCATGTTCTTCATACAGAGAACGACGAGAACCAAAGGAGCTGCTAGGGCAGGGAGCAGCCAAAGGACGTGGTGCCAGAAGCCCCCAGGTTGGGTGTGCTGCACCGCCCCAGCTGGAGCTCTCTGGACTTGCCCCAGGAGCTGCATTTGCCTCATTCGGTCTCATCAATTCTTTTAATTACTTCCTCCCATATGGCTTTTAAACTACAGCTTGGATGTTACTGAGCTGTGGCTAGCACAAAAATCCCTGGGTAGTCCCAGTCCTGTGGGATGCTGCACAAGCCCAGCAGCTCCCAGGTGCTGCTTTGCTCCCGAGAGCAGCTTCTGAGCCACCGCCAGTTATTACAGGGGAAAACACCACATTTCAGCACCCCCCAACATATTACGCTGCCTATAGGCAGGAGGAAGAGCCCCGTGAAAGAGGAGAGGCAGAAATACTGCCAGCTCAGAGCCCTGCTCTGCCCAAAGCCTCCCGGGGGGACGCTTGCCCGGTGCAGACATCTGCGCCCTCAGAAGCGACGCGAGCACAACACCCAGATTTCACTGCGAGGGGGCTTACGCCAACCAGCTCGTCCGCCTGAGTACACCTGGCCTTCCCAAGAGACTTAGGGGAAGGATTGCAGCCCGCATATTTGTCATCCCACACGAGAGGAAGCGCTCTGCAGTGGCACCGCACGAAGGGGTGCTCAAGCGAAGTCCCCAGCTACGCCCCCTTCCCCATTTTTGTAAGTCCCCAAGGTGAGCTGAACCCTCCTAACCCCGGCCATAGGGCAAACGCGTGTCTGAGCAACGCATCCGCCGGAGCATCTCCCGGGGTTTATCTGATGTGGGTCTCCAAGGGTTAATGAATCATTTTCGTTCATGAAAAGAGCAGGTAAGCCATTGCTACGCTGCTGCAGCTGCAAGGCCAACCCCCCAAAACCAGACCATCTGGTGACCCCGCTCTACCTCTCGTCTCAACAGCGTGTATGCACTTCTTGATAATGCTGAAGCCGATATTATCCAACTGGGCAGCTGAAAGGGAAAAGAAGAGAGAAGAGATGAACATGTAGCAGAAGGACGGCTTCACGCTGAGCACAACCCTCCTCCCACAGCATTCACAGTGACGCTGCACCCTGCTCAGACCAGGGGGAAGGAGAGGGAGATAAATTAGGTGTTTGCGGCGGCAAGGCACGAGTACAGCAGCTTGTTCCAGGTGTAACCCAGGCGGGCGCGGAACACTCATCCGTCATTTCAGCCTCCGCATCCCTCCAAACCGGCACCTCCCACGCTGCCGCGCAGCACAGCCCCAGGCTACGGCAGTGATTTACGTCTGCGCTTGGTCAAAACATCAATTGAAGATGAAGGTGAGATAACCCGAAAAGACCTTTGTCTTTGACAACACGTTGCTTGGAAAAAAAAAAAAAAAAAAAGGGAATTGTGTATGACACAAATCCTTGAAAACGGCACATGAGGAGGATTGCTTG